AGCATTGACTGTCTTCCTGTGTATAAACAAAAAGGACATTGTACTAAAATAAACTGTGCAAAGGACATAAAGGAAAGAGATAAGCACTTCACATATTTCACTTACATATACAAGATCCAGAACCCTCAAAAGAATTTGACTTTACAAGTTACAGGGCCTGATTTGGGGATATAAGGGATTAACAGGGGAAGAAGACCAAGAAGGTGAGGGTAAAGATAGAGAATTAGGAGTGCCTGATGGAATTGGGTGTGCCTCAGGAGCACTGTGGTGGGAATAACTCAATAAACCTAAACTCCCTGTAGATCATTACAAAACTGTTCCTGATTGGATTTCAGTCATACAATGATCCAACACCTATCCCTTTATCAGTGTATATTTCCCACCACCAATGTCCCCTATTTCCCTTCCACCATTCCCCAACACCCCACTCCCCACCCCCAGTCTCCCTCTGTTTTTGTGCATTATGGTTTGCAATACAGGTACTCAGAGGTCATTGTGTTTATTCAGATCATTTGGTATTTTATCAGGGCAGTAAAGATGAAGTAGCTTATTTATTTATTTGCTTTTTTGGTCACACCCGGCCATGCACAGGGTTACTCCTGGCTCTACACTCAGGAATTACCCCTGGCAGTGCTCGGGGTACCATATGGGATTGCTGGGATTTGAACTCGGGTCGGCGCATGCAAGGCAAACGCCCTACCTGCTGTGCTATCACTCCAGCCCTTGGAGTTTTTTAACTGGGTGGCAGCTTTGGAGTCTAGATGTGACTGCTGAGGTTTCCAGATGTAGAGGGAGGTGGGGGAAGGTAGCCTATTCTGACTCCAGAGAAAGCCTGGAGATTTGTCACGAAACCCGTATGTCCAAATTTTCAGCAGATTATTTCTCGGTGAGATGGTGGATTCAGGCAATAGGACTGGAGGAAATTTTGGATTGTGGAAGCAAGCAGCTGCCAGGTGCTCTGCTTGGGTGGGCACTAGGCTGACCCGGCCCCCTATGATTTACTCTAGTTTGTTCAGCACGGGTCCAAGATTAACGGCGGCTTTTGATGTCTTCTGAGATTTATTTATGCGAGATGCAGTCTTTATTCTCACCACTGAGTTTAAAGTCTGCTCCTGTGGCTGTAACCCAGGTGAAGACAACTACTAGTCCTTTTTGCAGCCTGAGGTTCCCTACAGTGGTTAAGGGGCGGGGGGAGGGGGGCTCCCGCCCCTTAACCACTTGCTGAGCATGCATCATTTCTTTGAGACCTTACAGATGCAATATCAGGAATATGAAAGGAAGCTGGAAGGGATTTTCTTTATCTCTTTGAGGTAAGTCCCTGGTCAAAAAAAAGTACAAGAGATTTTAATTTACTGAAATTTTGTGAGGTATAGTGTAAGATCAAAGTGCTAATTTGGGGTAAGTAATCTGATTCTAAAAGTTTTAGCAGAGGATGGAGTGACAGTACAGCAGGTAGGGTGTTTACCTTGCAAACAGCCGACCTGGGTTTGATTCCCTGCATCCCATATGGTCCCCCAACCACCACCAGGAATAATTCCTGAGTGCAGAGCCAGGAGTAACTAAGCATTGCTGGGTGTGACCCAAAAAAGAAAAAAAAAGTTTTTGCAAACCTGAAGCTCTCTGCTCCAGTTAACAGCTCATGGAACAGCACCCATACCCCAAATAGGGCCAGTCACCTCCCTGAGCTCCCAGGAACCCATACCTGACCCATCCATCCTAACCCACTCTCTGGTATGGGACACGTGTTTGGCTTTTTCTTCCCAGTGCTTCAGGACAACCAGTGCTAAGAGCTTTGCAGATACTTGCCCAATGAATCTGTTTTCACTGCTGCAAAACAAGAAAGCACATGATTCCTAAAGGACTGCTTGAATCAGTGCTGTTAAATTATAGGAAAAGGTTTTATTTCTCAGTTGGCAGAAGAGTAAAGTTTTCAGTTATCTCAATTAATGAAAAAAAAAAAAGGATGCATAAATGTGGCCTCCAGAAGGTTCAAACCTTCAACAGGCGAATGTTTTCAGCCCTCACCCCTTTATCCTACCCACTGTGGATCCAAAATGCTAAACCAAGAATTAGTCAACAAGGTGTATCCTTGACTTATCTGTAGGGATGTACAAAGGCAGTACTCCCAAAGGCCAAGAGTAAGGGAGAAGGGCCTCTCCTGGGTGGGGAGAAGGTTCAAGTAGTAGCACACGATCCAAGCAGATGCAAGGCCCTGAGTTTGGTTCCCAGCACCACATGCTTCCTTCTGGCACTGGGCTCAGCATCACGGGGATTGGCTCTTATTAGAACAAGTCCCCCTCTCACACAGCTGGAGATCCCTAGATATTTGGGAAATAAGCTTACAGATTTGAAAACCTTCAAAAGGTGAGAGGATCTGCCTTGTGCCCTTTCCTTACACTGGTGTGGAATGCAGGATTACAGTCTGAGTACTGGGGTGTGAGTCTAGGCAGACATAAGGGTAGTATGACCTTCAGTAGAATGAGGCTGTTAAGTGCCAGTTCCTCCAATCAGTTGGGGAATGCAGGTCTGAACACTCTCCCACAGGTGACTGTGAGGAGACAGGAGAATGTAAAAGAGTGGCTTATTGCCAGGCACACATAAACACTCCACAAACGACAAATTTTTATTGCAAGTAAGAATCAACAATACAAGAATGTAGCAATAAAAGATGAACACAATTTTTAGATTTTTTTGTTTCTGGGCTACACCCAGCAATGCTACTTACTTCTGGTTCTGTGTTTGTGGGAGTCACTTGTGGTGGTGGTAGGGGACCACGTGGTGCCAAGATTTGAACCCAGGCATCTAGCATGCAAAGTAGAGGCTTAGTCCATTGAACTATTTCTTTGTCCCCGGGTGAATGCATTTTAAAAAGTGTGATAAGAAATAGTAATTGATCAGGGCCCTTGCAGAGAAGGACCATAATCACATTCCCCAAGCAACAGTTTATCCTGTAAAGATCAAGAATGACAACAGCCATCAGTAGAATATTATCTATAAAGTATCTTCTCTTTATTTAAGTTAAACAATTTTCAAGGATGGTTTCCATCTATAAAATGGACAAAGTACAAGCTCTGTACAGCAGTTCTTTTTAAAAATCAACTGGAAAAAAAATTACCAAACTATATTTTGAATTTGCAAAACATACCATCATTGTAGCTTTTATGAAGACATAAGAAAAACCACCACAGAGAAATAACTAACTTCACCACGCTTTGCTCAGAGGGCTCTTAGGAAAGAATCTTTACTTGTAAAAAGAGGGTGGGAGGGTGGGATAGTCCCGATGACTAGAAAATAATGCAACCACAGTAAGTCACTTTGGCACACTGTGACATGTAAACATAGCTCACCTCAAGGGAGCCCGCCCAGCCCACCTCTGCTCACCACATCTGCACGACTCAGGGTCACTGCCATCCACAGCTCAGGGATAGGCAACTCCTACCCCCAACCCCAAGAGACTTAGTGGACCTGCCCCAGAGGTACAAAGATTCTGGTGGGTAGAGGTGCGCAAATGAAGTTTTCATCAAGAACCTGTTTAAAAGTTCTTTTGTATCAATGCCAAATTGATTTTTCACCAAAGGGTATTCTATTTGAACAGTTGTGGTAACTCACAGGTGACAGGGTCTGACATGGAAACCCGGAAGTTTGAGTGAGAACACCGGTATAATGATTGTGCCCCAACCCCTGATTCCACTTCTTGAAACAAGTCCCTGGGACTCTCCCAAGACTTGACAAGATCCGTTTTGGAGATTTAGGTTAAGTGTGCAGAACAGATTCAGCCTAAGGCCCTATTTCAGGTTACTGGGCAGTGGGCAAGAAGGGAGAAGCCAGAGGACACATCACTGTCATAGTAAAAACTGACAGGTCTTCTGGGATGAAACAGGCAGGAAACATGGTGGCACTTTAGTAAGTGTCTACCTGTGAGGGTCTCCTGCTGATACTCTTCACCCTGCAACTCCCGGGCCCCCTACAGGGCATTCAAATGGGCACTTAGGTTGCATATCCCACCATGGGGAGGCTCTGAGAGCCTCTGGTATGTGTGTGGGCAGGAGTGACAAGAAGGGCACATGGAGCAGGAAGGAGGGCAGTGATCACAGAGGGACAGAGGAGTCACCTGGAGGTGTGGTCTGCCATTATGGTGGGGGTGCTGTCCAGCAGAAACTTCAGCACATGATGTCCCTGCCTGTTCCCACTGTAGGTTTGGACTGGACTACGATGAACCTGCTCTAGAGCCACAAGCCCCGGCTGTGCCTTGAGGCTTTACTTGCTGCGCGTGACTGACTGCTGGGCCACTCCTGCCTTCCCCTCTGAGACCTAAGGCCCAGAGCCCCTGACAGAAGTTCCAGCAAGTGAACTAGCTCCCTACCCTCACGGTGCACTGTGGGATTAGTTTATTTATTCTTAAACATTATTTTTAAATACACCCAAAGTAATATTTGTCAAAATGAGTAACTCATCCAGGTTTACAGATACCAAGGGCACAAGAGAGTGGATTTCAAGACATTGGAGTATTTCCCACGCTGACGCCCAATGAAGACGCCAGGGCTGAAGGCTGAGGGTGTAGCCTCAGACGCCACCAGCCTTGGGGAAGGTTTGGGAGAGACCCCAGATGGCCACAGTAGCACCTACTCACTGATAAGGCTGCAGGGGCAAAGGAGGTGACTTCCTCCTGCAGGGAACTGGCCCCGACGGGCACCAGTCCTCCTCCTTATGGCCGTGAACTGCTCTGTGGGGAAGTGAAGAGATGAGGACAACCTAGAGAAACCATAGGGAACTGACCGCACATTCTTTATATATATTTCTATTTAGTGTCCCACCATAGAAAAGTCCATGTTTTAAAAAGAGCAAGCACATCATGTGGAGGAAGGGTCTGTGCTAGGAAGACTGGGGATAGAGGAGCCTGGGAAGGAATACCACATAAACCTGAAAACAAAGTAACACAGTTCGGGCCTACGGAAACCATATGGAATTTGGATGGGATCGAAACAGGAGAGTCAAAAGTGTTCTCTTCTACACTGTGATGTAGCAACCACATCCCCTTCCTGTCCTCCACTTACATGTTCAGGTTCCCTCTTGACCACTGGTTCATGCAGTCGCTGGAGGTGCTGCTCAGCAGAAGCTGGGAGGGAAGAGGGGCACCATGGGGCCCCCAAAAGAGACCCGCCTGCATCCTAGGAGTTGAGGAGAGCAGTTCTCTGTACTCGCCTCTGCTGGGTTTGCCCGTACCCTGTGTCCTGCTGAAGTCCTCCGACTGTCGGACCATGATGGAATACTGAGGTATATAGTTTTCGTGGAAAGTTTAAGAAACATAATCAAGAATGTAATCATCAAACTCAGCCGGAGGGTACAGGAGCAGGACGGCATGGGCTCTGGCCCTGCTACTGCTGCAGGTTTAGCGAGAACTTCCATTGCTGAGAGAGGGCAGGGCCGCAGACCTCCACACTCAGGCCCCCCACCTTGGCAGTGCGGCTGTCCAGGCACAGATTGCTGCCCACGTGCCGTAGCTTGGAATTGCCTTCGATCTGCTCCCATTTCTGCAACAAAAACAAGGATCCATTAGGAGATGAGTACCAACAACATGTGCATGGTATAGGATTGTTTTTGTCTCATCACAGGAAACAAACTTCTTGGAAATTTCTGAGTCTGAAAGATGGGAGGTAGCAGAAGTCCAAGACCAACCAAGTACAGGGAAGGGCACAGGAAATAGTCTGTGCTCTCTGTTCTGATTTTCAACTTAAGGTTCCTCTTAGGGGGCTACAAGAGTCAATGTCCCTTGTCCAACCCTTACCTCACTTTGATGTCTCCTTGTTCAAGCCCCAGTAACTCTGGGTTCCTGCTCCTTCGAGTGCCCACACGAGAACTTGAGAGAGGTAATTTCCTGAATTCACTCAATTGAATACATTTTATCCCCCAAAAAGAGCCCCAGAAAGCTGAGCCCTCATAGAGACCCCGGTCCTGTCCTTGGTCATTGGGCAGTTGCCTGCCTGGAGGCCTGTGCATCAGCAGGCTCCCACTCAGGCCTTCTTCTCAGCTAAGAACAGTTATGTTCTTGAATAACAGCATATTGAAAAACTTATCTCTGGCTATCTTCTCACTGCTATGTGAACTTGAGGCATGAGAAAACTGTCCCAATGCACTCCATACTCTGCATAACAGGGATCAATTGATACTTGCTGAGTTCTGAACACAATGCATATGAAGGGCAGGGTCTTCTTTCTAAAGTACGTAACACAATGCACCCTACCATGACTATGTCAACCAATCAGACTCAACCACCAATGAGCCAGCCAGCCAGTGATCCAGCGAGCCAGTCAGCCAGTCAGCCAGTCAGCCAGCCAGCCAGCCAACCAACCAACCAACCAACCATATATCTTCTGGCAAGAAAGAAAAGCTGAAACCAAGCCTGAAGGAAATTGGAAACTTTTACCTTGTTGTTTATATAAAAATCTGTTTGTTCTTAAAAAATAAAAGCAACATTTTTTCTTCTAAAATCTCCTCCTTCATTTATTCTCTTAGTCTAATTGATTTCTTTATACTGTGTGCACTACTAAAGCTCCAATATGTATTACTAAAAATCTTTTGACAGTATGGGATTAATATTTCTTACTCTTGAATGAATTTATATGGGCCACAGATTCCAAAAAGCACATTGTCTGCAGGTCTTTTTTTTTTTAAAATCACATGATGGGAGCATTTAAAGGGTGTCAGTTGTAATGGTTCCCCCAAATTGAAATAACAGATTGATAAAACAGCAGAAGCACCTTTTATCTTATGATATAAAACACACTTTTAGTCAGGGTAATCCCTTTTAAGATTAAGGGATTATTTGTTTTTTCAAAAAGATTTAGAGACAAATAAAAGCATCATTTCATCATTCCTTTGCTATCTCCAGACACCCCTATCCTATTACATACTCTGGGCAGTACTGTGCGGGTGTGAGCAGGATCAGTCAATACCAAGCTCATCTAATGCCTGATCTGCAAGAATTCTTGGTGGTTGGGTCCTGGGGGAAGGGACTAGACTCATTTCAGTCAGAAAACTGCATCAGCAGCACAGAGAAGCATTGGAATGCCAAAGAAAACAGAGACCTGCAGGGTACACACCCTCTACCCAACAATGAGGAGTGGAGCAGGAGAGATGGACACACAGGGAGGGTTCGGGCAATGGACAGGTGAGAGGTGGTCCTTTGCCAGCGTTTTCCTGACACTTGGGATTTTGGCAAAGGACCTGGTGCTGACCTTGGCCCTCCCACATGACAGTGAATATTTTCCTTTTTGTGAAATCAGTATTGGATTTGACTCCAGAAGGCTCTGTGCTTCAGTTTCCTACATTCTATCTCAGGAAGAGGGACCGAGAGCTAGTATTCCACATACTGTCATGATAGCAGGTTTTTTTGTGACTGTTTCTAGTTCTACCACTAGTTATCATTCCATGGTTCAAGTTACCACCAGGGAGTATTTTGGAGAAGAGAAGCTTAAAAGGGAAAAAATAATATTCTTAACTGTTTGGGCAAAGTAAAACACACAGACTTATGCCCATGTATATACATGTATTTAAACTTTATAATCATTTAGACTTTTTGTAAATTTAAAATGGAAAAATAGTTAATGAATTAAAGAAGCACATGACATCTTTTAAAAAACATTGAGTGGTCTGGGAAGGAGAATGAGAATATAACTGAAAATGAGAATATTAATCTTCGACAAGAAAATAAAAACTTCTAATATAGGCATCTTAGAGATGGAGATGCTGGTAGCTGGAACACGCTTTCAAAAATAAAAGACTAGAACACCCATAGGGCTGGAGTGATAGCACAGCGGTAGGGCATTTGCCTTGTGCGCAGCCAGCCTGGCTGAGCCGGGTTCGATTCCTCCGCCCCTCTTGGAGAGCCCGGTAATCTACCGAGAGTATCTCACCTGCACAGCAAAGCCTGGCAAGCTACCTGTGACGTATTCGATATGCCAAACACAGTAACAAGTCTCATAATGGAGACGTTACTGGGCCCGTTCGAGGAAATCGATGAACAACGGGAGGACAGTGACAGTGACAGTTGTTTTTGAGGGAGTGACCTCAGAGCTTACTCCTAGATCTCTGGGGATTTTAAGGGGTGTCAGAGATACAACCTGGGTTGGTTATGTGCAAGGCAAATGCCCTACCTGTTGTACTATCACTCTGGCCCTCAACCTCTTATCTTTTAAACAAAGCTTTAATATAGAACTTTTCCACATTCAGACTGGCATTTTTCCTAACTGTACAGGTGGATTCTGAGCCTGGGCCATGTGCATGGTGTGGTGTGATGGGCTACCACCACATGCCTTCTCATGCCTTCTTAGTTTGACCTTTGCTTCTGCCCCACAGAGAAGCTATGCTCTACAGGACACTGCTTTGCTACGATTCCTCCCTCTACTCCTGTGCCTGAGGTCTGCACCACTACATACAAAGGTCTGATACTGTGAAAGTTGTAGGGTTTGTACCACAATGTGCTAGATCAGAAAGCGTGTTCCAGCTACCAGCATCTCCATCTCTAAGATGCCTATGTCACCAGTTTTGGGGCATCCACATCCAGATGATGTGGTATTATAATTACTACAAGAAGCTTCTAGTACTGCTTACCTTACACCTCTATGAGGAGGCAACAACCTAACACTCCACTAGTGCCCAGCTCAGAGTATGTCCTAACAAATCTTCAAGACTTGTTGAACAGACAGTGACAAAATATGGCTTTGCCTTTTCAGTCAATTTAGAGTGTGAGGCCCAAATACACGTTGATCATGAATATCGGAAAGATATAACCCAGGATGAATGAAGGTAGGGTAGTAAGGCAGACTCCCGGAAGCAATCCAGAGCACGGAGTCGACAAACCTCCTGATTACAGCCACTCCAAAGGAGAACCACAGGACTTGGGGGAGTCAGAGGAGAGACAGGAGTTTCAGGGAGAAAGGGAAGTGGCACATTACTCAGAGCATGGCACAAGCACAAGCTGCAGTCCATGACAGGAGGATGACGCACCTGCCTGCTGTCGTTTTCTCGGCAGCCCTGCAGCTTGATGAGGGAGCCAGGGGCCCGGTCCACAACGGTCAAGCACAAGTCCATGTGTTTCACTGATTTCTCTTTCGTCAAAGCCCATTCCTAGAACACAGAAGAGAAATCAGAGGCATGCCACACCTGGAATGAAATAAAATGTGAAATGAAATGAAAGGAGTGTAAGAGCTCCAGAGATAGATAGGGGCAAAAGGGAAGGAAGAAACTAAGGGAAAGAATCATATCAGACACTAAGGACTCTGCCTAAGAGTGAGCCCTGGGAGGAGTTAGCCCTTCTCCTTCCTCGCGTCCCAATGGGATTCTGAGATGATGCCCACATACAGCCACCGTCTACAAGCTCCCACAAGGCCATGATCTGGAGACACACAAATGAATCTCGGACCCGAGCAACTTGCTGCAGTGATCTCTCCAGACCCTAATTATTAACATTTTAGAATTCCTGAACTCCTAGACATTATTTTGTATCCATAATAAGCGATACAAAACACACTGTCTAGCATTGCCTAGCATGGCAGGTATGAGTGGTGGTGGGACTAAGCTCAAAATATCGAAGGTAACCAAAGCAGAGAAAGAGAGTAATGTACAAATTGTCTGCCACACAGGCAGGGGTAGTTGTGGAATTGGGGGGGGGGATGGGAGGACGGATACTGGCTGGGGATTTTGGTGGTGGAAAACGAGCACTGGTGAAGGAATGGGTGTTTGATGATTGTATGATCGAAGCTCAAACATGAAAGCTCTGTTACTGTAACTCTGGGTGAATCAATAAAAAGGGGGAAAATACAGTACAATAAATACTGAGAAGGAAAAAAAAACAGTGAGCCCTGGGAGAGGCAAGGCTCATTATGCATCATGGAATGACTTGAATGATGTGTAAAAGTTCTTCACAAACCAGAGTACCTTGGACAAACTGTGTATTGTGGCCCCAAATGAAAATGCAGAGCGGCAATTTTCTATCATTTACATATGAGTTGTAAACAAACACTGTAGTTCAAACTTAAGTTACCCACATTACCCTGAAAATTCAGGGCTAACTGTTCCACCTACATTATTTCAGAACGACTGCCTCCACATGCAGGCGGGCTAGAGAGAGTGAGCCTTTATAAATGTGTTTTGTAATGAATGGAAGAGATAAATTACATAATGAAGCAAAAGCAGTAACTACTATTGTAGTAAGTCGTACCACCACTGCTCAGTAAGTTCTGTGAAATGAGAAATGGATCTATTCACACACACACACACACACACACACACACACACACACACACACACTCATATCCATTGGCTGCCTTTTATCTGCTGAGTAAAATTTACAGTGCTTTACACAACAGCCCCGTGAGAGGCAATTATAATTTCCATTTTATATACACGAAAACTGAGCCAAGCTAAAAGAGCCTGACGATGACTGTCTTTGTTTTTAGGTCACGCCTGGCTGTGCTCAGGGATCACTCCTGGTATGTTTTGTGTGTGTGTGTGTGTGTGTGTGTGTGTGTGTGTGTGTGTGCACGGTAGGGCATTTGTCTTGCATGCTGCCGGCCTAGCGAGCCAGGTTTGATTTCTCCGCGCCTCTCGGAGAGCCTGGCAAGCTACCGAGAGCATCTCATCCGCATGGCAAAGCCTGGCAAGCTACCCGTGACATATTCGATATTCCAAACACAGTAACAACAAGTCTCACGATGGAGATGTTACTGGGCCCTCTCGAGCAAACTGATGAACAATGGGAGGACCGTGCTACCGTATGTGTGTGTGTGGGCATATCAGATGCCAAGGATGAAATGGCACCTTACCAGCTATACTATCTCTCTGGCCCTTAACCATGACCCACAATGACCTAACACAGCACTTGGCATAGCAGGTGCCTAGTCACATTTACTGGAGAGGAAACCAAAGCCTGTGTTAGGGCTATCAAAACAGCAAACATGAAAAGGGCAAAAGAGCAGTCCTGTATATTCTTCAAGGCAGACCTGAGCTGAGTTGGGCTAGCTTCAGGCTCTGAGTCAGGCCACCATCTGAGCTGAGACCATGATACAACACTCTTACCACATGTAGTTGGGAGCAGCCATAGCTGGGAGGCCCTTACCTATTCCCTTCAAGGTAAGGACATCCTGAGAGCAGCTCCAGAGCACTGAACATGGAGACCAGAATTAACTGGACAAACCAAGACACTGTGGAGATTAAAAGGAGACACTAAAACTTGCATAGGAAGCCAGTAGCCTCATGGTCGGCCTGCCCAGCTCTCCAGGGAGGAGTGCTCTGGGGCTCAAATACCAATTCCTGGGTAGGGTTTGGGGGTGGGGAGGGGAAGGAAGATCACTGCCTTTTCACTTCAATATTGTGCCCATGTCCCAGAGAAATCTTTATGCTTAGAGTGGAGTACTGTTTCCCAAAGTGGTTGCTACCACTCCCCAGGGGGGCATGGAATGTTTCTTTTTCTGTTTTTTTTTTTTTTTTTTTGGCTTTCTGGTCACACCCGGTGGTGCATAGGAATTACTCTTGGCTCACTCACTCAGGAATTACTCCTGGCTGTGCTCAGGGGACCATATGGGATGCTGGGAATTGAACCCGGGTTGGCTGCGTGCAAGGCAAACCCCTACCTGCTGTGCTATTGCTCCAGCCCCGATGGAATGCTTATTTTTCCCTGAAATGGTGGTGGTAGGACAAATAAATCTGAGGACCTCTAGTATAGAAGTCAAAGTATCTGAAAGAGTTTTTTGCAGTCAAACCACTCCAGGATGAGAATAATCACAGACCACACAGTCTGCGATGACCTGGCAGGTGTGGGATGAGTGAGCCTGGCAGGCTCCTGATTTTCCCAGTAGAAAACATTTTCCCAGGAAAACACATTTCATTTCAGTCCCTTACAACAGGACTGACAAGGACACAGAAATGCTCACTGAGGGAAGGAAAAACTTATTCCTGCTTCCATGCCAGGGCCAGCAAACATGGTTCTTGGTTTCCTTAACCCTTTCATCCTCGATGCTACTACTATTCCTGTACAGGTTCCTCTTTTCAGCCCATTCCTATGCTGACAGGTTTAGGGACAAGAGTATACATGGAAAGTCAGCTTTAGAGTCAGCTTTAAAGACTTAGAATCAAGCTGCCCCCAGGGCTGGGGGGCCAGAGCCAAGAACAGAGGTGGGGACATACCTGAGAGCTGGGGAGGCAAGGTCAAGGCTTAGAGGGAAGGCCCACAGACACTGAGTGAGAGCCAGGCTGGGGTTGTCCTCCTGCGTCTCCCTCATCCAACTGATGATGTGCAAGCCAAGCAATACAGTGACAGCCTCACCAAGTGAGGAAAGGAGGCTCAGCATCCGGGAATGTAGTCTGACTCGACAGATGTTCCTCAGGAGGATTTGAACATCTAACTTTACACAAAAGCAGGCATCCTTTTAAAAACAAGTTTTGGGTTTTTTTTCCCCCCTTAAAACTTCATCCAAAGTCAGTCTGAATACAGTGGGTTAAAACGGCTTGTTTTATTTTTATTTCTCCAAGAAACTACCAGCCTTCTGAGAGCGAGGCGTATTTTCATTTTCTCCCCTTTCATTTCTCCAGAGACGAATACTGATCTTCAGTGTCAATATATTGCATCTTTTTTCTTTAGTTTTTGGGCCACATCTGGTGATCCTCAGGGCTTCCTCCCTACTCTGCACTCAGGGATCTCTTCTGGTGGGACTTGAGGGAACATAATATGGGGTTCTGGGGATCAAACCTAGGTCTCCTGTGTGCAAGCACCCTACCCACTGTACTATCTCTCTTGCCCTGCCAGGCATATTTTCATAAAGGGGATCAGAGTATACTGCATTGTCCAACCTTCTCTAGTACACAAAGACCATATTTTACCAAGTGCCTATTATTTTCTCTTGGAAATCACCTTATGGAACACCAGGCCTGCCTCAGGTTTAAAAGACCTTCACTTAAAAAAAAAAAATCTCTCCTTTCAATGATGATATTCCTCTAGAAAAAGATACATGTGTGTGTTGAATGAAAGCTGGAAATTATTTCTATTTTACATTTGAACTATTACTTTAACAGATGGGGATAATAATGATTTTTATGGTGCCTGTGATGGCTCTGATTGAAAAAGGACACAGGCAGGTGTCTACAAGTACATTCGGACAAGTTTTGACTCAGACCCAGGACAGGGAGTCTGGGGATGACACATATTACAGTGGGGGAGGGGGGGCAAATGGCAAGATGATGGGGAGGAAGAAGAGTTAAAGGCCACCAGCCTTGCAGCCATGCCCAGACTGGGTGTTAGCCAATACACACTTGCAAGAACCCAGTGCTTCTAACCAGACATCTCCCAATACAGAAGGATGGTTGACACAAACACAGGACTTGTAATCTCAGGACCCTCTTCTCTCTGTTTCCTTGGGTTTTCTAGGATACGCTGTTGCCCCTGCGAATACATACCTGGTTCCCCCCAGCATTGTGACATTCATAGACCCCAACAACTCCATCTGCAAAATGACCCAAAGTGTCAAGGCAGTTGGTTCCTTGCTGCAACGCCCCAAAAGCTATGTCCTGGTGGTCGGGAACCCTGGAAAGTAAGCAGAGAATCAGTTGCTAAACTCTGTAGGATGCTGAGGCAGCAGGAGAAATGAAGGCTGTTACCAGACAGTAGCCACACCCCACCTCAGGCGGGCCCATGAAATAGCATGTCTTTCAGTTTCTAGGTTTTAAAACAATATCAAGACTGAAGTCAGAGAAGAATTCTTTATATTTGCATCAGGGAAATTTTCCCGGAGAGAAAAAGTTCCTTTAATGGTATAAGTCACTTAGGAAAGCAATTAATGTGGTCAGGTCCTAGAGCCACAAACTTTCTAAAAGACTGAAAACTGAACCTTGCCCTGGTAGGGAAACAGAAGCAGTTCTGCCAGGTTTCTATGAAGAGAAGCCATGGAGCATGGCAGGTGAGAGCCAAATGCTTTAGGAGGAGATTGGAACTGAACCTGCCTCTGCCAAATACCAGCCATATGGTCTTTTGGGCACATTCTCTCACCAGCTCTCCTTCTGCACAGTGTTTGGTTGCAAATGAAACCCAAAATGTTACAGTTTAAGCAGCCAGAGTCTCAGCAAATGATATAGGTCTGGCATAAATATTCAGTTAGTGTCTCCTTGAACTTGCATTTTTCCCCCCATGGATGTGGTAACTGGATGCTTTAGATGTGGTCTCTTTTTTTGGGGGGGTGGGGCACATCCAGCAATGCTCAGGGGTTACTCCTGGCTCTGCACTCAAGAATTACTCCTGGTGGTGCTCAGAGGACCATATGAGAAGCCCGGATTGAGCCTGGGTGAGCTGTATGCAAGGTGAGTACCCTACCTACTATATACTATCTCTACAGCCCCTAGGATATGATCTTAAGTAGTACACAGTTCAACGTCACCCCCAAATCACAGGTGACCTAAGGGTAAAACTGTGTGTCCCAGCTGGCATCATCATCCATCAATGATTCACAGTGAAAACAACAGTGTATCACTCTGTGGCTTTAATCCACTCTTGGGGTACCCCTCATTGGCAGGGGTGGGCGTTAGGGTTCAGAAGACAATGATCAGGGGCTCCCATGTGGTGACTACTGCTATTCAACTCCAAACGAAAGGTGAGGAGGATATCTGGAACCCTCATCACCTGGGAGCAGGACAGCATGGGTCCCAGATATTATATTAAAAGCAAATAGTTCCAAAGAGCAATATAGGTGAACAGCAGTAAGGCAGAGAGGCCACATTATAAACTTGCCACAAACCTTTGTGACAAGGCTCTGAAGGTATTGTTAGCACAAAAGAGAATACAGTGGTCTCCAGCATGGAGCCATTGTGGTGGAGAGACATGACTTACTGCAAAAATGCTTAGCAGTATTCAAAATAAAGAATGTACCACATTATGGCTAAATATGCCTGACAGTTCCTTTTCAAAGTCAAAAGGATGTTCAAACCCTGCAAACTTTCCAAGTTTGATAAGGGCAGCAGGGTCCCTCAGGATTTAGGACCAGAAAGTTGACATTAATTTAAAGTGACAGGTCAAAAAGGCACATGAAAAATGCTCTTTATCACTAATCATCAGAGAGATGTAGATCAAAACAACAATGAGATATCATCTCACACCACAGAGACTGGCATACGTCCAAAAAAACAAAAGCAATCGGTGTTGGCATGGATGTGGAGAGAAAGGGACTATCCTTTACTGCTGGTGGGAATGCTGCATGGTCTACCCTTTTGGGAAAACAATATGGACGTTTCTCAAAAAACTAGAAATTGAGCTCCCATTTGACCCAGCAATACCACTTCTGGGAATATATCCTGGAGATGCAAAAAAGCACAGTAGAAATGACATCTGCACTTGTATGTTTATTGCACTATTGTTTACATTAGCCAGAGTTTGGAAAAAACCTGAGTGCCTTAGAACAGATGACTGGTTAAAGAAACTTTGGTATATCTACACAATGGGATACTATGCAGCTGTTAGAAAAGATGAAACCATGAAATTTGTATACAAGTGGATCAACATGGAGAGTATCATGCTGAGTGAATGAGTCAGAAAGAGTGGGATAGATGCAGAATGACTGCACCCATTTTTGGAATATAAAGTAACATAATAGGAGAATAACACCTAAGGATAGTAGAGATAAAGGCCAGGAGGGTGGCCCAATGGTTTGGAAGCCGATCTCATGTGCTGGGGGAAAAAGGCAGGTGGGATGGAGAAGAGACTACTAAGCAAATGATGGTTGGAGGGATGGTAGATGCATGCTGAAAGTAGGTTATGGACCAAACAAGATGGCTGCTTAGTGCCTATGTTGCAAACCATAACACCCAAAAGGAGAGAGAGAGAGTAAGAGGAAATGCGTCTGCCACAGAGGCAGAGGGGTGGGAAGGGGTGGGGGTGGCAGGAGGGACACTGGGAACATTGGTGGTGGAGAATGGGCACTGGTGGTGGAGAATGGGCACTGGTGGAAGGACGGGCACTCGAACACTGTTTGATTGAAATGTAATCACGAAAATTTGTAAGTCTGTAACTGTATCTCATAATGATTCACTGCATCCTTTAGGCCCCCAAATAGGACAGCTTCTACCATCACAATGGAATGACTTTATGGAAGCTATCAGGTCACGGTCCTCCTGTTGTTCATCGATTTGCTCGAGTGGGCCCAGTAACGTCTCCATCGTGAGAATTGCTGTTACTGTGTTTGGCATATCAATACGTCATGGGTAGCTTGCCAGGCTCTGCCGTGTGGGCTAGATACTCTCAAAATCTTGCCGGGCTCTCCGAGAGGGGCAGAGGAATTGAACTCGGGTCGGCCATATTGGCTGTGTGCAAGGCAAACGTCCTACCGCTGTGCTATTGCTCCAGCCCATAATGATTCATTAAAATAAAAAATAACTAAAAAAAAAAAGGCCATAAGAGAATCCTCTCTGTTATTAGTTCTGGCAGGATGTAGGATGCCAGCATTCTCATTCCCATATTACATGTGTCACAAACCAGTCCAGGAAGGTAGGCACAGGCAGGGGGCGCTTGTCCCAGCCTCTGTGGGGGCCCTAAGGAATCAGACCATGGGAGATGATGCATGCTGCAAGAAGAACAAAGTAGAAAGTGACAACCCACTAAGGGGGACATAATACCTGCCCCCCCCCCAGTGGGTTTGGATGTCCAGTAATGAGAGTAAGAAGAACAGAAGGGTGATGCGACAGTTTACTGGGTTCTATAATCTTTGCCATTTTACCAAAGGGGATCAAATAGAAAGGCATGACAATGAGAGACTTTCTAGAGACTGTATCCATGAATAGAGGGAAAGCAACTTAGTAGAAAACAGAATTCAGGGAGTACATTTAGGGCCCTAAGGACAATAGCTGGGGTGAGGGCATGAGCCCCAATTGGGAGCCCCAATTCTCCTACTCTTGCCACCCAAGTTCAATCATTACTTCATTTCGTAAGGCCTCACTATATGGTACTGTTACTTCTATGCTCTTACAAAGAGAAATCTGCAAGAGCTTACCGTAGTTCTGGATAGACATTTTCAAGGTACCATTTGAACGGCTTGCAGCTGAGTTTCTTCCTAAGTTCCAATCGGCTCTGAATACTGGAGGTAAGGAAAAAAGACTCATTCATAAAACTTCATGAAGGGTTAGGCTTTCTACATAAGTTTGGAAATATGCTTGCAGAACAGGGTTGGGGAAGGTAGCACAGTGCGATTATGTGGCCTTCTGTTCTGTGACCCACCAGCCCCCATTCACCTTTCCCCTAGGAGTTCATGCTACCCCATCCCACCTCCCCCAGTCTCGATCCCCCTTGTACCTTCACTCCCATCCATGCACCTCCACCCAGGGCCCTCACCTAAGCAGAGACCATCCTTTGACATCTAGTAGTTGTTCCCAGGTCTGGCCACAGAATGATTCTTAGGGTGCAGACTGTGTTATACCCCCTTTCCTGCCCCCTTCCCTCTTACACCCCCTCCCCCAACACACAGTGATTCCAAGTAAGGCATCCTGGGACAGGACCCCGGTAACACTTACTTTCCATAAGGAACATTTCTGGCAGAAGGCACTGCTGCATAATAGAAATTTTTGTATTCATCCATCCAGACCTCTGCTGCTCGGCGGGTGTTACTAGAAACAAAACAAATCTCCTTGATCTGTGATTTGCTTTCTTCCTGTCAACGAGCATTGCTTCCCGCTAGGTGGACTATAGTTCTGGCAGTGATGCGCAGCACTGGGCAGAGAAGACTGTTGGTTTTGCACTCTGTGCTGTGTTTATGGGGAGAAGGCATTCTGTGTGCCTACCGAACAAGATAGCTCACTTTCTTGTCTTTTATGGAACAAATTGTCAGAAAGCTCAAGGCAAATTTAAATTGTAGCACAAACATACACACACACACACACACGTATACACACATGTGTATATACATATTCATACATACATAAATATACATATACATGCATACACATATAAAGGATGCAGTCTGTATCATATAGAACAAAAGAGAATTCTTCTAAAATAACCCATACTACATATCCACAGAAGGCTGGTACCAAGGGGGAGAAAAAAGAAATTCTTGCCTCTAGAATAGCTCTGGGAAAGTTAAGAACAAATGAGCTCTATCAAAATTATTTTCCTTTATGCAGACCCGAGTTCACTCTCCTGTCTGGACAAGGAATCCTAAGGTGAGGGAAGAGATGCTTTCCTTCTGAGGATCTTACAGCCCTCTGTTCAACTGGCAGGACTTTTCTAGGATGTGAATTATGCGCTTACATCTCATGACCAAGAGAGAAGCAGGATTTGTGAGTAATAAGGCCACTGGAACTAGCTACTTTGAAATGACTAACTTGGATTAAAGGCTCCCACCAGCATAGACATCAGCATCTGACCCTGCCAACTTTTTGCAAACTTTATGAAGAGCATTCACAGTTAGCTTCTTGGCCTCCAGAACCCAAAAGATGGCATTCTGCTCCTCAAAGTCAATCCATGAAGTGGTCATGTTTCCCTTTGAAAGTAATTATTTTTCTCTCTGAAAAGCCTCCTAACAATGGTTAGCTTTTCAAATAATCGGAATTAAAATGTTTGTTTGAAGTATGCATCTTTCTTCTAAAAATATTCATTAAATAGGAAGACACCAAGATTTACATAGTTATTCATAGTTTAGTTTCAGGTGTATCATGTTCCAATACCACTCCAGTACCACCACCATTGACTTCCCACCAACTATGTCCTGGTGCTGCTTTCATACCCTAGCCCGCTTCTTGAGTGGTTGTTGTACTTTGGATTTCATGGTTCAGTATAGTTGACTCCATAGTTTATTAGATATACTATGTACTCCCTGCCCATTACCCGCTATCCAACTTCTCTTACTCCCCTACCCTTGTTTTCTTTCCTTCCCTGTCCTCATTTCTATGACACAGGGTCAAGTGTAATCTGGGTATCCCCCCCCCTTTGATACTTAGGCATTCCCTTCTCTTATTATTTTCCCGTATACCACAGATAAGTGAGATCATCCACTATTTTTTTCTGACTTATTTCACTTAATATTCAAGTTTCAGTGAAACTTGAGAAGGTCACAGAAATTTGGATTGAGATTGCATTGAAACTACATGGCAATTTAGGTAGACTGGTGACTGACAATATTAATTGTTCCAATTTAAGAACATGGGTAATTTTTCCATGTCCTAGCATGCAATCTTCCCTCAAGAATGCTTCATGTGCATAAGAGAAGAATATGTATTCAGTGTTTTGAGAATGGAAAGCACCATGTATGTCAATTAATTCCAGAATTTTTAACTCCTCCTTTAGGGCTCTTATATCTTTACTAATATTCCACTATGTGTATATTACACACACACACACACACACACACACACACACACCCCACACATTTTTATTATCTGTTTATGTGTTGTATTCATCTGTTGTTGGTACCAAAGTTGATTCCCCATCCTAACTATAGTGCTCAGTGCTGCAACAAATAGTGGTATACATATCCTTTTGAATGTTTTTGTGTTGTGGGGGTAGACACCAAGAAAATATATTGCTGTGTCAGAGGACAGCTCTATTTTGACTTTTCTGGGAAATTTCCATACTGCTGTCCATAGGGGCAACATGGACTGTACACAGTTTTTCTGATGTGCATCATTCTTACTGTTGTGAGATGATATCTCATTATCATCTTTATTTGGATTTCTCTGGTAATAAGTAGTGAAGAGCACTATTTCTTTTGTCTATTGACCAAACCCGCCTTCTCCAGAGAACTTCAGAGTCTGTTGACTTCCTCTCTCCATGTTTTTTGAAAGGATTTTAAACATTATTCTCGAAAGAGAGATGAGACAGGCCGGGGGGGGGGGGGGGACCGCCTGTGGGGAGCAGGCTGTGGGGTAGGGGTGGGGGGTGATGGGAGGGAACCTGGGGACCCTGGTGCTGGGAAATGTACACTGGTGGAGGGATGAGTGTTGGAACACTAGACAACTGAAACCTAATCATGAAGAGCTTTTAAGGGTCTATCTCACAGTGATTCAATAAAAAAAAGTAAAACAAAATCAATTTGTTTTTCTGTTATTGATTTTTGTGAGTGCTTTATTTTCCTTGGATATCAATCTGTTATCTGATTTGTCAAGTGATTTTTTTTCCCATTTAGTATGGTGTCTTCAAGGTTTACCCATGTTTCTTTAGTAATACAGCAACTTGGTTTCTTTTGCCTTTGCCAGTGGTGCCATATCATTAAAAACAATTTGGACTTTAAGGTCCAAATCTTGGAGCATTCTGCCTATATTTCCCTCAATGTATTCTGATCTGACCTTGAGGTCTGATACACTTCGAATAGACTTTTGAGTTAAGGTACGAGACATGGATCCAGCTTCATTGTTCTAACATGTGCCTATTCAGTTTCCCAAACACCATTTACTGAAGATACTATCATTATTCAACTTTATGTACCTAACTCCTTTGTCAAAAATTAGTTGAGCATAGATATGGGGATTTGTCTTTGTGTACTCAATTCTAACCCTTTGGTCAGAGAATCTATCCTTATTCCAGTAACATGGTGTTTTGATCACTATAGTTTTATAACATAGTTTCAAGTTATATAATAAGATAACTTCCAATTTCTTTTTTCTCAGAAGGGCTATGGCTATTCAGGGAACCATCATGGTTCCACAAAGAAACTTACTGTTGACCATTCTAAGTCCTTTAAGAAGGTCACAGAAATTTGGATTGAGATTGCATTGAAACTACATGGCAATTTAGGTAGACTGGTGACTGACAATATTAATTGTTCCAATTTAAGAACATGGGTAATTTTTCTATGTCCTAGCATGCAATCTTCCCTCAAGAATGCTTCATGTGCATAAGAGAAGAATATGTATTCAGTGTTTTGAGAATGGAAAGCACCATGTATGTCAATTAATTCCAGAATTTTTAACACCTCCTTTAGGGCTCTTATATCTTTACTAATACTCTATTCTGTGGATCTGTCTAATAAGAGCTGAAAATTGAAGTCTGTCACTATTATTATGTTTCTCTCAATGTGTTTCTTTTTTTTTTTACATTCCCAGCACCAGGGTCCTCAGTTTTCCTCCCATCCCCCCCCACCTCAATGGTCAGCACTTCTCTCTCTCTCTCTCTCTCTCTCTCTCTCTCTCTCTCTCTCTCAAATTGTGGTTTGTGATACAGATACCGAAAGGTTATCATGTATATCCCTTTCATGTATATCCCTTTACGTACTTTTTTGTAAAAATTTTTTTATTAGTGAAACACCATGAGGTACAGTTATAGACTTATAAATTTTTGTGCTTGGGTTTCAGTTATACAATGATCAAGTACCCATCCCTCCACCAGTGCCCATCCTCCACCACCACAGGTCCCTGCATCCCGCCCACCCCCCATCCACCCCGTCCCACCCTGCCTCTGTGGCAGGGCATTCCCCCTTGTTCTCTCTCTCTTCTTTTGGGTACTGTGTTTCGCAAGAGAGGCATTGAGTGGCAATCATGTTTGGTCTATAGACTACTTTTAGTATGTCTCTCCCACCCTGGGAGGGTCTTCACAACACCCTTTATTTGGTGCTCTCTTCTCTATCTGAGCTTCCTTTTCACCTAGCACGTGTGGCTGGCCTTCAAGTCATGGAGCAAAATTCTTGGTACTAATCTCAGCCTGAATGTGTTTCTTTAGGTCTGTGGCAAAAGTTTTATATATGTCTCTGACCCTTCATTTGGTGCATATATGTTAGTACTTCTTGATCTACTGTTTACTTAACCAATAGGTCTTGTCTGTCCCTATCTCTAATTATCTCGTTTAGATAAAATACTATTTGGTCTGATATATGTATGGCTGCCCCAGCTACTTTTTGGTCTAGAATAAGCTTGTATGACTTTTCCATCTTTTCATTCTGAGTCTGTGTTTATGCTGTAGGTTTCTGAGCAGAAACTATGAAATTTGCTGACCTTATTGTCAATTACAGTATGCCTCAATTTATTGTTTTCGTAAGCACTAAGTAGTGTCCACCATCTCTAATCATTCTTTACATTGAACGCTATTTGGCTTGACATAGTATGGCTGTCCCAGTTTTTAATTTTATTTTTATTATTATTTTTTTTGTCTACCACTGACTTGTGTGACTGCTTTCCATCTTTTCAGTCTGAGCCCATGAGCTTGTAAGCAGTTCGATTTTGTTTCTTGATCCACCCAGTCACCAGTTTTAGTACATTACAATTCATAGGGATTTTTTAATATACTTATATTTATGTGTATATATATATATTATACACACATATGGATGTGGTATAATAATTTTTGCAATTGGCCACTGTTATTTATAAATGACCTTTCAGTAATTCTTGCAGGATTGGTTTAGTTGCAGCAAATGTCACCGCTCTTGTTTGTCTGAAAAGGTTTTTATGTATCCTTCAAATCTAAAGGACTGCTTTTCAGGGCAGTGGACTCTGGGTTGAAATTTTTTTTTTTTAAATTTAGCATTTTGAGTATCTCCTTCCAGAGTCCAAGCCAACTTCTATCTGAATGGCGGTCAGCAACATTTGTGGTCCCTTCTCAGTTTTCTCAAACACTTACCGGGCAAAGACAGTGCCACTGCCACCAGGGAAGGTGTAAGGATGCTGCTTCCGGAACACGTGCCCCACACGACTACAGGGAATGATTTCCAGGCTGCCACCACACTGCCACACTCGGAATGAGATCTCTGAGATGATGGAGACAGGGGTGATCAACCAAGCTTGGAGGCTGCTTTGAGTAGCAGTCACCCAAAGCAGGGTGTAGCTATCCACACACCCACCCCCTACCCACCCTCTCCCATCACTGAATCCCCCCATGCCCTCTACTACTGAAGGAGGTGGGAATAAAAAACAGACTTGCTTCTGGAACATTTCACAGAGGAGATGGCTGCCACCCCCTGGATATCTAGGTTATCTCCATGGCCTAATCACAGCAGTTTTTTTTTTTAAGTGAGGAGAACCTGTTAGTGTGACTATAAGGAATTGTTTCAGATCAGAATTCTTTACAGGAGTGATTTGAGGGGTCTATTCTGAATATGAAGGACTCCTGGCTTATTACTGTAGCATTACCAATAAGTACTGATGAAATCCTGAGTTCACTAATGGGTTTGTGATCATGGAGAGGTGCAACTGCACTTGTTCTGCTCAGATTGTTACAAGAGGCAGGTACATAAGCACCCAACCATCAAAATGCCCACAGTTATAGGCCAGAGAGATAGCTCAAAGATATGAAGCATCTGCTTCACGTGTGAAAACCAGGTTCAATCCTCAGTACCAATATGGTCTCCTGAGAACCACCAGGAGAGATCCAAGGCCACCCTGCAAAGTGCAAAGGTACCTCATGGATTGTGGTACTGACCAAGGATAATAAAGTGACCAATGGATACCTGAAAGCTGTCGACGGACAACTGTCAGTCCCTACCTATTGTCCCCAGTGGCTAGGAGCCTCCAGAGAGGCTCCTGCAGGAGAAACAAGAGAAAGAGTGCTGGTGCCATCAACACTCCTGTAAGCACACATTGTCTGTGTCCTAGAATGGGAGAAGTTCATTTAATTCTTGGGCCACACCCATGCACTGGTCCCAGTCACCAACTGTTCCAAGTGCAGCCCCAGCCAGATGGTTAACTGAATGTAAGAAAAGATTAAACTGAAAAATTAAAAGTCATTTTTCCCCCTGAAACAGTTCATATGTGATAAAAGGGCACTTCCCTCTACAACTCTTTCCATCACAAAGAACAGTTTGGATCTGTAAGATGGAATCTCCAGTGAGGGTATCAGCAGTCATGGCCAACACCAGACTGATGAGTGAGGAAGGAGTCGGGTAATTGCCCTCATGCTGGTCCGTCCAATCTTCTGCACAGAAGGTCAGGAGCCCAAGGTCGAGAGCCCGATACAGCTGAGGTGACCACCTGGGCCACAGATCAGGAATTTCACATGTGGTGATCACAACCACTCAAGCCTATGCAGTGAAGTTTGACTTTTCTGCTCACTGTTGCCCAAGAAAGCTTTGAACTTCTCTGTATTTAAGGATACAAAGTTGAAAGAGTCATTGCCTAATTGGAAACTTCAACACTGGGGTAACAGAAGGTCTCCCTGCTTCTCTCTATGTGTCTGATCTATTAAAGCAGTAATACTGTGCTTTCTAAAGTGGGTGTAACCACTCCCCCTCTCACCCCGCTCCCTCCTCACACCATTGGGAGGTCAGCAGTTGCCCTGATGAATGTGGACAGTATGAGTACCTTTGTAATAAAGGATCTGTTCAGGGTTTTTTTGGTGGGAGATTTTAAAGATCAAGTACAATTGCAATTTGTACTTCTGACTTCACTTGAACCCTGTAACTGTGGGGTGGGGAGGCGGGGGGTGGGGGTGGGGCAGGCATAAGTCAACATGACGGGGGGGGGGGGGTGTGTTTGAATTTAGCCAGCTTGTGTTTATACTGGGCTGGAGCGATAGCACAGAGGGTAGGGCATTTGCCTTGCATGCAGCCAACATGGCCCACCCGAGTTCTATTCCTCCGCCCCTCGGAGAGCCCGGCAAGCTACTGAGAGTATCTCGCCCGCACGGCAGAGCCTGGCAAGCTACCCATGATGTATTCGATATGCCAAACACAGTAACAACAAAGTCTCCAATGGAGACGTTACTGGGCCCGCTCGAGGCAAATTGATGAAGAACGGGAGGACAGTGACAGTGTTTATACTGTGGCTCTGCCAATGAGCTCTGAGAATTTTGGGGAGATCCGTATCAAATGAGGAAAGTATAAAATGAGATGCCCTTCTGTCCACTCCCACATAATGCTCTCCAGGAGGCTATACCTACAGATCACAGATAAAAGGGGGAGTTCCTTGCCTTCTTTCTCAATGCTTAGATCAGATTTACATTATTAGCAAGGAAAACTGGGCACTCTAGTGGTTCTGGTGGAGCACACTTGGAGAAGAGTGTTGGATTGTACTCAAGTGTTCTCATTCCCCGCCTCTCCCGTACAGCTCCACATGTCTCTGAGGCTTGCTGTCCACTGCCACTGTTCTCGGCAGCACCCAGACAAAGAGTTTGGGGTAGTACTCAAGGTGGGGATTGTCTTGCTGAGCTCAGTCTGCCTCCCCAACCTCTGAAGACTAGTGGATTTAAGAGGGTCTTGTGGGAACCACTGAGGGAGGTTGTCACTGGGTGGGAGAGGGCTGCAGTCATCGCAAGAATGAATATATGGCATCTAATAGATGAGGTAAATCAGCTCAGAAATACAAGCACTTGAAATGAAAGACTTAAAGGGAAACAAACAAAAGGCTCTAAGCAGAGAGCATTTTTATCATTATATAATAATGATGGCACTAACAATATAGACTAAGATCTATAAAATTTCACTGTCCCTTAAAGGGTAAAGGTTCATAAGAAAGTTTTTATTGGGGAAAAAAAACACATTAAAGTCATTCACAACATAGGGACAGCTAAAGGGTCTCTCTCTACCCAATATGATTTCCATAATTACCAGTCAGTAAATCCGAGAAGCCCTCCCTCCACCCCCAGCTCACCTTCCATTTGACATGGCTAAAATGACTCCCAAGAGCCCTGTTTCAAACATTTTCCCATTTAAGTTTTCTTTCTAGACCCTCTACTTCATTAAAGACATTTAATTTTCTTTACTTCAAGGAATTTAAGGGACTTAAGTTATCTAATAGAGTGGATGGCATCCTGAACCTTTATTTTAATTAAAAAAAAATTTTTTTTTTTGCATCTTGAACTTTTAGGATGGCTTTTATTGTGTTTATTATGCCAGCACATGGTCCTCTGGAGGGACCATGCAGTGCTGGCATTGAAACTGGGGTTGTCAGGGCTGGAGCAATAGCACAGCGGCGGGTAGGGCATTTGTCTTGCAAGCGGCCAACCCAGGTTCGATTCCCAGCATCTATATGCTCCCCCAAGCACCTCCAGGAGTAATTCCTGAGTGCATGAGCCAGGAGTAACCCCTGTGCATTGCCGGGTGTGACCCAAAAAGGGAAAAAAAAAGAAACTGGGGTTGTCTTATGCAAAACTTGCATGTCAGCCCTTGGAGCCATCTTCCTGGTCCTGGGGTGACACATTTTAATTTCTAATCCAAGACACTTTTAAGAGTGAGAGTGAAGTTCATACTTATTTGGGGACCAATTTTGTCCCAGGAACTCTAATGCCTTAAAACTCTTTCCAAATCAACCCTGGATTAACACAAATCCTTGCTCGATGAATTCTTCAAAGTTTTGAATTTTCACCAGCATTGGAAACTGTTTTGTGTCTGAAGATCCAAGGCTCATACATACCCAGGTTTTCACCTCCCCACACATCCATCATCATGTCATATTTTCCCAGTTCTTCAAAATAGAACTTATCCATCACGAAGAGCCCTCCTGCAATCATGGGAGTTCTAAAGTGGTAGAGAGGGTGAGAGGAAAGGGAGAAAGAAGTCAGAGGTCAAGGTTAGATTACCAGCATCCATTACATTAAAGTAAACCTTATAAGCAAGTCTTCGATGGTCAGAGTTCTGGGTGTCCCTCTCATCCCCCTACTTGCCATGCTAACATGCCGCCAGAGTACCAGGGGTTGCACCAAGTCTCCTTAAGGAAGACAGATTCTGGAGGCCAGAATATTCAATGACAAGGCCAGAATATTCAATGACAAGAGTCTCTAGGTAAGTAGACTTCCTCTGCTTTTCTTCAGAGGACTGCCCCAAATCACAGCCCTGGTGATGCCTTCTCCCCTTTATCACTAGCATATTATGGGGCATGTTTTTCTGTTAGAGAGGAACACCACTGTCCATATTTTCTCATCAGCTTGGAGAAGGGTTAATAGCAGACCACTGATTGAGCTCCTTGGTTCACTTGAGAGGCCCTGAAAGACTCAGGGCTAAGGACTGGGATAAATACTTGCTCATTCACTCAGTACTGGCAGCAAGCTTCCTCTTACTCAGCTCTGGGTCCCATTGTCTTGACTGGCTTCGACCATGAAGCTAAGTCACAGCCTGGGAATTCCAAAGACAGGTGTCAGTGAGCACAAGACACACAGTGGGGCATGGCTGCTGAGGAAACACCACAGACCAGGACGGCAGCAGCAGAGAGACATGTGTGTGCCTGCCGCCCACTCCTGCCTCTGGTCTCTGAGGTCAACCTGAAGACAGACCCAGCTGTGGAAAATGCTCAATATAACACATCTGACTGAACACAGAAAAGTGGCAAGTTCGCCACTGTACACAGAACCTAGGCTGAGCTGGGGAAAAGAAATCTCTAAGTATTTTTCCCTCCTTGAGGAGGCATAAGATCTAATGAAGCTCTTGAGTGGGTCCCTGAGAAACTGGGAGCCCAGTGCCCAGGGTTCCCTGAGCAGGGGCACTCTACATGACGTCTGGTACTTACTTGATGGGGGCAACTGGATTGCCTTGCCGGGCTCTTCTCTGCTCAGGGGTCATGTAATCCCATTTGAAAACCAAGTTCCAGTCAAAACCTGCCGGTAACAGAAGGGAACAAGTGGAGCTGACAAGAACTGCTGTGTGCTCCCACTGCCTTGACCCTCAGTTTAAGAGTATCTGACATTTGGATGAATGAGACTCACTGAAAAATTAAAGAAAAATTGCAGGTGGAGGGGAACAAGCCCCAAAGAACAAAAATGTGGAAGGGAAACAGTGGTTGGAAGAAGGAGGTGATACATAAAAAGTTAGCTGGATAACTCAGCCACCTGCCTCTAACACTTCTCCAGCACAAGGCCACATATCAAGAGGACATAACGAGGGAGTCCCTATAAATTTCACTGCCTCAACATCTCTTAGCTGCAACTGAACCACACAGGAGACAGAAATGCAGTGGGGCAAGATGGAGGAAGGAAAACTTGGAGATGAAAAAGAGCCCCAGAGATGTAGCAGGTTTGAGTATTTGGTAACCCTGGCAAACTTTGGATACACATTTGAAATTCACAGACCACTCAGGATTGCAAAGCCTGGTCTCTATACCCAGCCGTAAGGTGTCAGTCTGACTGAGAAGGTGACCTAATGGAACTCCCTAGCAGTCAATAGACTGCATCGGCAAGGTTCTGTCAGAACAGTCTAATTCAGAGCTCGAGACCCATCTACTTTTGAGCATTCTGCCTCTTAGTGCCACACTTAAGTTCAGATTTCTCATAGGTGTGCTCTGGCTTTGGAACTTATCTGTCCCAACAATGTCAGTGTCCATAGCCTGAACAAGGCAGAAGGGAGGCAGCGGGTAAAGAGTTTCTGGGCTGGTCTAGCATATTGATGGGTCAGTCAGCAGCACAGGCCCAAAAAGGTTCCAAGGTTAACTGTTCCTGCAGAGTCAGGGATGACTAAGTCTCCACATGGATGACCAGGTAGCTGGGTATGTGCCCAAGAATACTCAAGCCATCAAGGGGAACTGGAGAAAGAGGAGGCCAAGATAGGCTCCTTCAATTCCAAAGATCCTTGGCAGTGTGACACTCAACACACACAGCCTGTCAGCTCTGAAGTGTTCACAACCAGAGTCCTACGGGGAAGACTTAATCTTCTCTCATTAAAAAATGACAACAAAATTGTGTGTACAAAACCACATGTGTCACAACAATGACAGAAGGTTAAAGAGATAAGAGAACAACAGGAAAGAGTGAGCTCCTTAAAGGAAAAAAATGCTCCTTTTCACTCTCTGTGAGAATCTTGGGCTGGGGCGATAGCACAGTGGGTAGGGCGTTTGCCTTGCATGCAGCTGACCCAGGTTTGATTCCTCCATCCCTCTCGGAGAGCCTGGCAAGCTACTGAGAGTATCCCACCTGCATGGCAGAGCCTGGAAAGCTCCCTGTGATATATTCGATATGCCAAAAACAGTAACAACAAGTGTCACAATGGAGACACTGCTGATGCTCGCTCGAGCAAATAGATGAACAACGGGAGGACAGTGCTATGAGAATCTATTCATCAAGCACAGGGATGCTCTCTGCTTGGAGCATACTCACAGACAGTGCAAACCTATCGCTTCTGCCACTCACAACACAACACCGAGGGGCAGCAGTGTTTAGATGCAGTGTGGACAGAAAAGCATCAGGACAGAACAGGAAAGGCACCTACCGCCTTTTAGGTCGGCAGATGCTCCCACATACTGAAAGTTGTCCATATTAATCACATCAATGATAGGTGACACGACTCGAGTTCTGTCCTACAATACAAATAAAAAAAGAGTAAGGATTAAAACCCCCAACAAGAATCCTTTCCCACAAAAGAAGACAATAACATGAGGCAGTTCTGGAGAAGCTCCTCTCTCCATCTGCTTCCACACCTGTCAAGTATCAAGTAATCAAGAAATGGTAGCAAGTAGAATTATCATAATCACCAGTATCTTGAGGCTATTTAATATTTCCTAACTTACTTTCCATTAATTATCTTGGCTATGCGGTACAAAGGAGTGATTTGTTTATCTTAGATTTCTCCTGTACTTTCATTATGTTTGCTGTATTACCCCAAGGGGAATTTTCTTAGAAGGAAGACAACAGATAGTGAAACCAGCAGAAGGCAGGAGAAATGACAAAAGGCAGAGATATATTGTTATAGGCATTCTGAAGATTGAACTGCACAAAGTGTGCCCACAGATCACCCTTACAGACACCTGTCCCTAAGTAGTCACTGTTGCCCCTTGCCCCTTCACAAAGGCTGGTTCTCACAGGCAGCAGCATAGCTGGAGGCGAGAGCCTTATGCCCTCCTGAGCTTCCCTAGCTGAGCGCTCCCACCCTCAGCTGGCACAAAAGCAGTAAAGACTCAATTTGGAGGGCTGGAGTGATAGGACTTTTGCCTTGCAAGCGGCTGACCTGGGTTCGATCCCCAGCATCCCATATGGTCCCCCTGAGCAATGTGCTGGGAGTAATTCCTGAGTGCAGAGCCAGGAATAACCCCTAAGCACCACTGGGTGTGACCCAAAAAGCAAGATAAATAAATCATTTAAAAAAACTTTTAAAAAAGTAACTCAATTTGGAGAGGCCAAGGACTATTCTGAGTACCTTGCCACTTAAGAATCCAGAGAGCACTGAAGAGCTGCAGCAGGAAGGAAAATCCTCCTAAGAAAAGTACCGTCTTATACTCATCAGGTTTCCCCAGCCTCTCTGCATTGCAATTTTCCTACATGGCAAAATATTTTCTCCACCTACCAGTAGAGTCCTGCAGTGAAATTTTGAACACAAGTAAAGGAGGCATTCTGTGGGCCATCACAGAAGACCCCAGTTGAAGCCTGAGTCCTCCCACTGAGCTCCTCACCTCAGCAACCCTCTCTAGGAGAGGCTCCAGCCAGTGCTCGTTACACTCACAGTGACTGTCCAGAAAAGTAAGAACCTTGGCTTGAGCCGCGTCAGCCCCCCGGACCCGTGAGCGCATCAGACCTGTTGAAGTGAATTCAAAAGTACATTAGTGGGGAGAGCACACAGAATCTGAGGGAAAAAGCAACAAAAATCATACAACTCAGCACCGATACCAACCCCTGACTCAGCTCTACAGCCCCAGCAGCAGGACTCATTAATGGCAGACTTGTGTGGCAGGACCAGTCTAATTCCAACTTCTTTTTGTGAAATTAATTGGATGCCTGGGAAGATGACTATTTGAGAAAGCAAAGATGCCCTCTGAGAAAAGTCTTTACATAACTGACATCTCATTTATCAAGCAAATGACACGCAGAACTTTAAGAAACACTTTCCTCTGACTGCAAGAGTTTTCCAATTAGCTGGGCTAAGTAAGGTGTCAACCAGACACTTCAAGTGCTAATGATGCTGACTTTAACTGATAATTTAATGGTAACCATGTTGCAAATAGATTTGTCTTCAAAGACTTATCACAAGCTATCACAAGACTTATCACATGCTTGATTTTTACACAAAATGAGTTCAACTATTGGTCTGTATATTTGTGATCTAGTAACAAATATTTGATTACCACATAGAGTCTTATTATAAATAGTGTATTTGTCTCTAGGTGATATCATGTCTGACTCTTATGCTGGTCTTAATAGACATAAAAATGACACCAACTATTCACAGTCAATAAGAATGTTTTTAGGTTCTTCACACTAGTTAAAATGGGCTTTATATAATTTGCACAGACTGTATTTGCTGTAAGAACAGTACTGTAAACCACAGCATCTATAAGGAAAAAGTGCCTTTTACAGAAGGAGGCTGGTGGGTGGGAGGGAAATTGAGGAAATTGGATATTACCTCCTACCAATTATAATGACTATTATAAAAAATACAATAGAAGTGTTGGTTAGGATGTGGAGAAAGGGAACCCTTCACCAGTGTTAGTGGGAATATAAACTGATGCATCCATTCTGGAAATTAGATAGAAGTTCCTCAAAATATTTAGAATTGGGCTGGAGCAGTGGGTAGGGCGTTTGTCTTGCATGTGGCCGACCTGGGTTCAATCCCTGGCATCCCATATGGTTCCCCAAGCACTGCCAGGAGTAATTCCTGAGCGCAGAGCCAGGAGTAACCCCTGAGCATTGCTGGGTGTGATCCCAAAAGCAAAAATAAATAAATACATAAAATTTTAAAAAATTTAAAAATATTTAAAATAAAACTACCACATGATCCAGAAATTTCACTTCTGGGTATTGTTTTGTGAGAGAGATATCAACACTCCACTGTTCAGTAAAGCATTATTTACAAGAGTCTCTCAAGACACAGAAATAGCTAGTGTCCTGCAATGGATAAATAAAGAAAATATGATCCATCCAGAGGATACACACACATCAAAAGGAAATATAATTCTATATAAAAGAAAGAAATCCTGCTATCTGTGACAACATGAAGGACTTTAAGGGCATTATTTAATAAGTCACATGGATGAAGAAAATACTACACAGATTCAGAACACTGAACTCAGAGAAAAAGAGTTTGGTGGTTGCTAGAGGTTGGGAGTAAAGTGTGGGTGAGTTTGATCAAACCATATAAACTTCCAATTGTAAGAGAAACGAGGTTTGGGAAACAGCATGGTGACCATAGTTAATTATAGCATGGTGATAGCATGGTGACAGTTAATGACAGAGAGTAAATCTTGAAACTCAACATTAAAAAAAAATTTTGTTATTGTGGTGAATGAGGCTATTAAAACTCACTACAACAATCATTTTCAATATAAATATATTTAAGTCAGTATGCTTATAGACCTCAAATTAATACAGTTATACATATTTATAATATTATCAATAAAATTGGGGAAAATACAAATCAGTCAAGAAATAGTCAAGAGAGGAAAAAAGGCAGAACTTAGATTATGAACATGAAAGCCACATACTATAATTGGGCTCTAATATTTTCATCTGTAAAATGAGAAAGAAGGACTAAGCTTTCACTTTTCAAAGCACATCAGAATCATCTAAATGGCTTAAAAATGCACATGACAAGGCCTGACTCTAGAAATATAGTGAATTTTATTCAAAGCATGATCTTTTTAATTACCCATGACTGTAAATATCCAGATTAAGAAATTATTGTTATGAGATCCTCATTTTTAATATTAAACCTAAGACTGCTTTTTTACTATCATTACATTTTATGTGATTTTTTTATGTGATTGATTCTGTATCATCTTCATCCTCTTTTTTTTTTTTTAAGTGAAGCAAGATAGACTTCATTGAAACTTATTTAGATGTGAGGAAAGTGAAAGGAGAGGACATAAGTATTTAAGAGAGAATACAGACTTCACCAGAGTGAAAAAAGCAGAGATCTAGAGACAAACAAGCAAGATACATATTCAAGGAAGAGATGAGCTTTGAATAGCAAGTCTGATTTTGCATCTTCTATTCAATATCATTGTAAATACTTGTGTATATGGCCAAATAGATACATACACACATACAAGTACATATCTATTAGAGTGTGGGGGTAATTCCAGATATTTCATCTGTTCCATATAGGCTTACCATAACAATTTTCCCTCTCAAAAGCATCAAGTTCTTATCTAAATAAACCTCTTAAAGCAAATGAAAAGCAAACCTAAAGCAAATGAAAAGTTCATCTTTAGAAGCATTACCATGATATCTTAGCAGGTTAAAAGCATTCTCTGATAAGGTAAGTAAGTGATCTGTCACAATTATAAAATACCAATGTGAAAAATAATTTTTTCTGGGGACTGGAGAGATAGTACAGTGGGACAGCACTTGCTTTGCATAAGAGTGATCTGGGTTCAAACCCTGGCATCCCATATGGTTTCCCCGAACTTGGCCAGGACTGATCCTTGGGCTCAGATCCAGAAGTAACCCCTGAGCACTGCTGGGTATTGCCCAAAAATGGAAGACAGAAAAAAAAAATTTAAAAATTGTTGTTTTTTTCAACTGCTTTTTTTATTATTATTCTGTTGGCAGAGAGTAATAAATTCAAAGAGTTAATTTGCAGTTTATAAAGGGGTAAATATAATGCAATATTTTGGGCTCACCTCATGATTTTGGTTTATTCTAAGTGTGTAAGTCCAGGAAACAAAGGCTGATGAGGAACAAGTCTGATCCTATTTTTATGTATCACGAACATCTGTGCTACGATCTTTGTTGGTTAAAATATGGAGCTGATGACATTACCCTAACAGGCTCAATAACTTTACTGGCTAATGAAATTCTTGCTAAGAAAAGCTGCTTTCCTTAACTCCAGCTGGTCTGCACAAGGAACCAGGATAAAGATATACAGTGATCAAAAAATACAACCACTTTTCTAGGATCTACAAAATCATCTTCAAATAGCAAAAACAGCTCATGTTTTAAAGCTTGTCAATACTATACTGAAAGATTTCTTCTCAGGACCATGGTGGAACCTAGGATCTAGCTAAGCAAACTCTAAACCAGCACTGGTGCACTGAATGCTAATTATATTATGCTTTCAGCTGTTTTCCCCAGACACTTCAAAGTAATACTTCCCCTGTCTGGAGTCTCTCTTATGCCTGCCAACAGAGCAGACTCAGCTACAGACCAGTTCTGGCCCAGACAAGACTGACAGCAGGTTTTGAAGTAGGCATTTACAAAATCCAGTAAGTGGGTAATTGCAGAACTTCCTCTCTCTCTCTCTCTCTCTCTTGCTCGCACACACACACACACACACACACACACACACACACACACACACACACACACAATGGTTCACCTTCAGCAGGCTATCAAACTTGAATTCCAATTAATTCAATTTCTCACTGCAAAAATCTTTATTTTTCTTCCTAACTCTAGTACTCAAGGGGCATATGACTTTCTTTCTAGATTGTGGGGTGGGGGGAAAAAAGTTCCAAATACATAAATAAAAATGTAATTTGAACTCTTGCTCTGGTATATAATTTCCACTAGTTAAACTCTAAACGTTCATTCAGTATTTGCTGGCAGAGCTTTCAAGAGGCTTTGGCAGGAGAAAAACAGGAGACAACTTTTTTTTTTGATGAAATGTTTAAGTTATTACTCGATTCTGGAAAAGTAGGAATCCAACTGCCTTGGTAGAAAATTTAACACAGTGTCTTACCTTCTCTGCGATCATTTCTGAGAACCCGCACTTTCTCAATTTTCCCCAGGAGAGCTCCATCCTCAGCTAGAAAAAGAACAGCAGAGTAGTATGAACTTCAAAGTCCTTAAGGGCTTTGTTTTCAAGCATTGTGATTCTTGATCATTGACAGACTAATAATTTTTTTTTGACCTTCACAGAGATCCCTCTTCCTTCTGAGGCCCTTATTCCTATCTTTCATGAAAATTTCACTAGCAACGACACTGAAGAAAAGCTGGCATTTGATAGAAGGGCCACTTAGGGTGAGATTGGTCTTGGTACTTACGGTCATTGCTATAGTCATCCACCAAGATGATTTCTTTGATGAGGTGGGGTGGGCTTTTCTTAAGTACACTGAGAAAAGACAAAGATAAAAGTAACTGATCTTTGGAATATCAATCGGGACAGGCAATTCTCCTATCTTGGTGTCAGTTCTTGGCAGAAAGAGACACTGACCCCTCCTGTGCACTATGGTCTAGTGGCTTGTGTGTTTACCCAGATAACCCCAGTCTAGTGGTGTTGGGCTCACAACCTGTGGATAAGATCATAGCCAAGGAACTGTTCTCAAACTCTCTGCTCTCAAAAGCTGCAACATTAGGGTTGGAGAGAGTGCTGTGAAAATGTTAAAACACTTGCCTTTTGCATGTGGCTGACCTGGATTCTATCCCTGGTATCACATATGGTCCCCAAGTATTTTCAGGAGTGATTCCTCAATACAGAGTCAGGATTGCACAGCTAGGGTAGTTCACTCCCTCCCAGAAGCTACAACATGTGGGAATGGATAGGAATGGGTCAGGTAGTGCTCACCTGACCACTGTCCTCAGCAAGGCCGACCTGGCTTCATTGTGAAACGTGATCACCACACTGGTAGCTGGCAGATCCACTCGCCACTGTTTTCGTTGACACCTCGAAGAGAAGAAACACCACCCACTCAAGATGAAGCCCTTTAGGATGCAGTAAGGCTCCTGGAGAGCACAGCACAGACTGACCAGCTAAGATAGACAGGGGTTAGTTTCATCACCTCAAAAATTACTGGCCTATTCTGAGACAGAGTGACAGTGTTTGGAAACAGCAAAACTGGATGAGTGATTCCAGGGAAAAGGAACTAAGAACATTTTTTTCTATCATGGGGGGTGGGTAGAAGGGGGCAGTGGTGGGTGGGGTGAGCATTTTTTAAAAGGAATCACCATAAGATACACAGTTATAAAGCTATTCATGGTTTTCAGTCATACAATGTTCCATTCCCCATCTCTTCACCAGGATACATTTCCCTGCCACCAACGTCCAGTTTCCCTTCCTCCTTGCCCCCCCAGCTACCCCACCCCAGTGCCCCAGCCTGTTTCTAGGGCAGAAACTTTTCCTTTCCCTTTCTCTCCTCTCCTTCCTTTAGGCACTGTGGTTAGAAGCATGTTTTTAAATAGTGACATTCCACTTATTCTCACAAGCACAAATACCTCTATTGTGCTTTTCAGTTAACAATGCCTCTTTCTGCAGTGTGGTACCAATGGTATGTCACTGTTCTTTTTTCATCTATTTTGCTGTTCGACAACAGTGGTTCATCCTTTCTCCTCTATCTTTTCTCTCTTGCCGCACGGAGCTTAGGTTTATTGAGATACACCCATCACAGTGCTCCCAAGGCACTCCCATTCCTCTGTGTTTAACTTCTCCTCTGTGCTCTGCTTCCCCTGTTTACCACCTATACCCCAAATCAGACCCTGTGACTTGTAAGGTCAGATCCTTCTAAGGACTCTGGATTTTGTATCTGTAAGTGAAATACTGCTTTTTCTCTTTCCCTTATGTCCTGTGCACAGTTTACTTTAGAGCAATGTCCTTTTTGTATAGACACAGGAAGACAGTTAATACTATGCTTTTGTAACCTGGGAGTTATTGACTCTGAATAATATTTACTCCTGGGCATCTAAGCCTCAGTTGCTCTTAGTTCCTAGCACCCAAAAAGGAGGGTCCTGATGAAGGGATTGGATGGACCCAGGGCAAACTGAAAGCTATGCTGGCATTAAAATGGGATAGGCCATGTGCCATAAAACTTATAATGTTAAGAGCACAGTCATGGACAAATTCTGTCATGACTCAAAGAGAAACAACTGGATAAGGACCCTGCTGGGGTTAGGAAGGACTAATCAGGCTTGAGGGCTGTAGTCTGGGATCTACAGCAAGATGTCCCCAAGAGAGCCACCCTTTAGGCATAATATATCTCTTACTGTGTCCATACAAAATGACCAGAAAGATTATTAAGAAGCAAGTTTAAAATGACCCTTTAAATGGATATGAGCTAAGGGAAGGAGAAATACACCCTTAGATGAAATTCTGCCCTTGGACTGTGCAGATCTCTTAGCAGGATAAGATATTGTCCTAGAAGAGCTTCCTTAGAAGGAAGGTTTTACATATGTTATTGTGCTATCTCACCTAGGTGTATTTGCTACCTCCAACTCTGGGGAATTGGGTCAGTGGGTCGATGAATAAGGCTGCAAGTCTGGACATGAGGACACTAGCATGGAGGAAAGTAGGAGACTGGAATTGGGGGCAGTGTGAGACTGGACTGGGGCATGCTCAGTGAAATTGGAATAGGCATGTGGGGACAATGGAATAAAGCAGAACGGAGATTGGAATAAATGTCGACTGACCACCAACCATCTTGGAAGCCCTGTTCCCTCCTTTAGTCTGTCTGCGGTGGCAGCCCGGGGTGGGGAAGTAGCTCATGACCATTGAATACACGCGGCGAGTACCCACATATTTTGTGAACACACACACTTTGCCTAACGCAAGCACGAAGAATTTTGCAGACCCATCACAAAAGTGTATTTAGAACTGGGCTGGTCCTCTGCTGACTGTTCTCTTTCATCCAGAAAAGGCAGACAAGCTAACTGCAAACACCACAGATGGTGTTGGTGTAGGTGCTGCAGGGCCTGTAGGCATGGGAACTCAATCTGCCACTTGCTCCTCCCATGTGAAACTGTACAGAGCAGCTGTGAACTGCATCTAAAGGTGAGGTATGTGCAGGCCTCTGTAGGACAGAGAGGTTATCATGTCTGGACTACAGATGCAGAACCACCAGAGTATTAAAGGGCTACTTAAAAACTGGGCCAGAGACAGAGGGTAAGGTCTTGCATGATGGTGATTCCTGTTTCACAAGGTTACCTTAGCAACACTGTGAGTGAGCCCTAAGCAGATACAGCAGATCGACTGGTTTGTTCATGGTATCCCCAAACCCAAAATAAAACAAAATCAGGGCTCTTACAGCTCTAGCTGAAGCTGCCGAAGTATTACATACTCGAGAAGAAAAGGCCCTATTATGGTAGAATCTGGCCCAGCATAACCAGTATCAGGGACACACAGGTAGGTCCCATAAATTTAAAGAACAGGCCAGAATGGAGGTAAAGGTGCCAGATTCCTGAGAACACAATGGGATGGGAACACACTGGATCATTGATAAGATCCAATGTCTTTGAGGATACTCTGTGAGGTTGACCTAGTGAGACATCAGCTGGAAGAAAGGCTGGGTTGGCAGCCAAAGCTTGGATGGATCCCGGAGCCCTCACCACACACCTTCACATGGAAAAGGTGACTTAACTGCAGCAGGATGGAGTTCTGGAAGCTGGGCGCACAACCGTGTTGAATGGTGGAAGCAGTGGGAAAAGGAAAAAAAAAATCCTGGGGCCCGGAAGATAGCACAAAGGGCTGGAGGGTATGCCAGGCATGGGTGAGGTCCTGAGTTAGATCACTAACACTTCCTGTTCTCCCAAGCATCACTAGAGAAGCTCACCCCCCAGAGACCTGTGAGTACTACCAACCCAAATAGTATCACTTCACTTGACCCTTGCACAGAGCCATTTAGCAGAGTATGGCCTGGAGAATGCTACAAGCCCCACTGAGAACTGCTTAGGTGCCCATCCCAACTCACAGACAAGATATTCTAACAAAAAAAATCAAATCAAAACTCTGGTGCTTTCTGGAGACTCAGCAATCACGTCCATAACCTACCTCTGGCTGGTGCCAAATAATCACGTCACTGGCCACCATCCAGATCACACATTCTCCTCTCCTGGAAGGGAGCAACATGAGGCTCTCCCTAACCATGCCACCGGGCCCACTGTCAGGCTGTTTCACTCAGAGCACATGAGTGGGGTGGGTGAGACCCCTCCCTGCCCCAAGGGACTCAGCCCTGAGAGCTGAAAACTTCCGCAACTCAGTCGCCACCACAACCCATGGCTACTCTCCACACGCTTGGGCCAAGCCTCAACCACAAGTGCATCTATTGCTGGACCACGCAGCCCTGTTCAAACCAAATACTCTACCCATACTCCAGGATTACTGCATCACATTTGGCAGGGCACAAAATAGGAGGCAACCAATCATAGAGGGAAATATACATTTTTTTTACAGACAAATACATACAAAACACATAAGGCTCAACCTTTAACAACATGTCAGTGATTTCTTAATGAAAGGCTTAATGCTCCTGGGTGAAATACAACAATCCTCACATTGTTTCCTCTAAAGATACTTTTCTCTAGCTTTCTCAGCAGATTTTCATAACAAGCAATAAAAAATATATTATTTCAGTTCTGCTTTGAGGAAGGGATTGCGGTTTGGGAGGGAAACATCCGAAATATGGTTGTATGAAGGTGTAATGGTGGTGGGATTGGTGTTTGAGTATTGAATGTAATGATATATTACGGACTACTTTATAAAATAAAAATTTAAAAAAAATACTCTGGAGCTTAGTCATAGCTAAAGCAGTTAAGGATGACTGACACTCAAGCAGCTGCCAGACTGTCCCAAGTGTCCTGAAATTCCACAACAATGGCTACACCTGAAAGTGGGCAACAGACAGGGATTTTTTCCCTTCCTTGGGAGAGACTAGTACTATAGACAAGTAAGTTCTGAAAATGATCAAGAAAGAAATGCAACTATAATGCAGGAAGTCTGGAGCAACATACAGTGGGTAGGGTGCTTGCCTCACATGCAGCCAACTTGGGTTCAGTCCTCCGTATCCCATATGGTTCCCTAAGCCCTGCCAGGAGTGATTCATGGGTTCAGAGACAGGAGTAACCACTGAGCAGTGCTGGGCATGGCCCAAGAAAACAAAACAAAAAAATAAAATAAAAGCAATTAGTAAGAATCACAGCATAGGTTTCTTTTGTTTTAGTTATATGGATAGTTTGATTTCAGTTAATCATGAGAGTACTGCATAATATGCCAGTCATTGTTATGTGGGGAGAAAAACTACATTCTGGAATTAATACTGTTCTTTCTCAGAGGTCTGGTAGGCTGTCTTTAATGACAAGCTGACTGAAGCTAATTGTCCCCACCTCTACACTATCTCACTTTCTAGAAGCAGATTGTTAGACTAAGGAAGCAGGAAACTGCAAGGTTCAGTGGTCAATATATATTACTAAAAATGTCATTCTCTGGAATTTGATATGTAATGCAAATGAAATAACCACACTAGAAGGTCATATTCTCTGCAATTAGGAACCGCTCAATGCAGTGTGAAGTGTGAAGTGTAGAGCTAAGCCGGCTGGGTTGAATGACTTATGCACCCATGTGAGAACTAAAAGGAGAGAGAAGAAAGCATTTTCATACTAAAATGATACTAAACTTAATGAATCCAATCATGTCTATTTTCTCATTTCCCTTTTTTCTGCAGGGATCCTAGGCTTCCATGAGCATTTAGAAGATTCAAGAGATTTTGGAAACATTTTCAGAACACAGAGGGCTGTCACCTTATTAAAATTCTTCTACATATTCATAAGGTGCCATGTTTTGCTAGGAATTAGCAATCAAGACATTGAAGTATTCTCCTATTTTGAAGACTAAAAAGGATAACAAACAAAAACAAATATCTTAAACCCCATGAGTGTGTGCATGAACGTATGGAACTTCAA